ATCAAATGCTCGAAACGTAATCCAGAAAGGTGACATTCCCCCCCTCCTATCTTGAATTTGGATCACATTTTTCAGGTGTGATTAAACATTGTTACTGGCAATGAAATCGATTAATTTAAAATTTTGTAATTTTGTGTGCCGTTTAATCCAAATCATTGCCAATGAAATTGATTACATTCATATTTATGTGGAAACTTAAAGTATGCCGGAGAAAGTTATTCCTCTCTGAAATAAAAAAAAATTGTAAACACCGCCACTGTTTTGGTAACTTCAAGTAACAGTTTTATTGAGCAAATCTTTTTATTAAAATTATCTTTTAATTGTAAGAATTTTTTTTCCCAAACTTTTCTGAGAGTATTTGGATTAAGTCCTTAAAGCTAGATAAAAAAGTTTGGGGGCAATAAAATCAATTAAGATTTTGTAGCCCTTTTTTTTGCCATTTAGCGCAAATTATTTCCGATGGGCTTCATTACATTTAAATTTCTGTAAACTCTTAAGCCTGAGACTATCAGTATTCTACTTTATCTGCAGGAATTTGAATATCATTTCCATGTTCGTCAATGTACAATGTGCCAAAAGAAAAATTGATTTTCATGAATAACTTTTGATCTAATGATCGGATCTTCATGTCCTTGAACTTCTTTTTAATGGTCCGAGATGATTACTTCAAATAAGCTTGTTGATTTTAGCAGACGATATTACATCCTGATAAGATACGGGAAACAGACACAAAAAATGCACTTTATCTGAATAAACGTACCTTTTTTTCGTCGGATTCAGATTTCTGACAGCTAAAATATATAAGGTAACAGCAATCTGGGAAATATGGTCCTAATAGTTAGGTTATCAGAATGATTTAAAGTTTGGACCCTTTAATGCTAATTTCACTTTTTGCACATTTCGTCATATCTCGAGAACTTTTTTTGACGAAAATTTTTGCACACAGTTTTTAAATTCGCTTGTCCAAGGATAATTAAATGCAAAAAAAAACTTTTAGTAAATATTTATTACTTTTGATTATTTTTAATAATAGTCGAAAAAACTTTTAATTGTACGGTAAACAAATTTTACATCGTTTTAAAGTATGTAATTCTGCATGAAAAATACAAAACATGAGTGAAATTGGTAGAATGGTTCCTGAGAAATTAAATTTTGAATATGGGAGTCAGAAATCCTAATCCGTTGAAAAAATAATGCATGTTTATTTCGAGAAAGTGTGTCTTTGTGTCTAATTTCGTATCTTAAAATATCGTCTACACTAATTAATTAGTATATTTGACGTTACCCCCTTAAACCCCTTGGAAGATTCGATCATTCGCTTGAAAGTTATTCAGGTTGGTCCGTTTTTTTTTTGGCACACTGTACATCCTGAGTAAGTTTACTTTATAGCTGGGAAAGTTGTGCTTAGGTTTTTGATTGGAAAGTTTTAGCTTGCAAACTTATCTGATTAAATAATTTTAATAAAACAATTAATAATTTAATAATTTTCATGAACTTTTATTGATTTGTGTCAAGTTTTATTGTAAGTAAATTCCTTCGCCTTACAGAATAGCCCGTAATGCTAAAAATTGTTATTTTTAACGAGCATTTTCCAAACATTATCAATAGAGACTATTCAGAGGAAAGCCATAAAGCAGTAAATGAGCTAGCAAAGATAGTACTATTAATGCCGAAGATCATACATAGATATGTTACAATTCTATGTGAGAGTTCCTTCGAAATGTATTTTAGCCGTAAAAAATAGTGTTAAAAAGCAGGAAGAATGGGTTCCTTTACCTAAGAAACATGTGTGGTTCTTTTTGTAAATTATCTTAATTTATTTTTTCTCCATTTTAAGTTTCCTGTAAACTCATTTTAATCTTTCAAAAGTTTTCACTCAACTCAGCCAAAATATTTTGGATGAGAGACAAACGAGATAATTACTAATTACCACCTACAATTCGGGTTCTTCAGAATTAAACTTACTTTTAGAAATTTTTAATGGTCTTTTTATAGCTTTGAGTTGAAGTAGCGACTGTGAAAAGTTTGCTGATTAAATAGATAAAAAAATGTATAGAGCGCAAAAGAGAAAAAAATAGAACACCTTGAATAACTTTTAATCTAATGATTAGATTTGAACGTACTAAGACTCATTTTTATGGTTCAACAGCCCAACTTCAAATAGGCTAATTAATTTCTGCAGACGATATTTTAAGTCAAGAAGCATGACACAAAAAAGTACTTTTTCAGAATAAACGTACTTTGTTTCTTTCGATGAATTTAGATTATTGTCTTTGAAAAATATGAAGGATTCGTGTAAAAACAAATTTTAAATACACGACTTTTTAAAAATTTGATATTTCTGAAACTATTTCATTGAATGCGATCAAGTTTTGTATACCATTTTAAACCACATTCTTTAAAATGATGCAACAGTTTATGCCTTACAATTCGATGAATGAAAATAATGAAAAAAAAAGAATTATTATTAATTACTTTTTGCATATGTTTGGATAATTGTAATATTGTATGCAAAAAATTTTCAATTCTCTAAAAAAGTTCTTGAGTTATGGCGAAATACGAAAATATGAAATTAACATCAGGGGAGGGGGAAACTTTCAACCATTCCCTTAATCAAACTATTGGGACCATATTGTTTTCCAGATTGCGGCTACCCCCCTCCAGATTAAGATCAAAAATTCAAATTCGTTGAAAAAAATAAATCTTCATTCAGAGAAATAATTTTTTTGTTACAGATTTTGTAATTTGAAATATAATTTGTACTAATTAACTAATATATTTAAAGTTAAGCCCTCAAACCATTATGTTTTATTTTTAATACCAACATTGAAAAACAATAGTACGAGTTAACGAATATCGATATTCAACTCCCTAGTCTTGTAATTTTGATATTAATACTAGGGAAACCTTGGACCGAGCACTTAAATACACAAATGTGAGCTAGATTTACCAAAAAGAGGGAGAATTATTTGATGGATCTAACACGCCCTTACGTTACACAAAGAGGAAAACCACAATCTCCCATAGTTAGCTCAATGGCAAGGAGATTCTTACCCATGATCCTTCTACCACTGAGGATATTTTATGACAGCACTGTAATCAGTGCGAGCCGGGAGCAGAATTTGTATTGGTCAGTCAATTCTAGGATTTGAACCTGGGTTTACCTCAACGTGTGGCGAGTGCTCTATTCCTTGAAGGCTTCCTCGAATCATTAAGATTAAGTGTTAGTACGTGAAATTCCTATCATTAAATCAAAAGTTTTCTAGAGTGTTTTTTTTTTGGCAATTTGCCAAAAGTAAACAAATAAAAAATTTAAGTAAACAAACGAACTGATAAACAAATAAATAAATATACGGTATTACTTAAAACAACTGTTAAACTATTCATTGGATTTTTATAAACTAAAATGAAATTTATTTTATTTAAACAACGCATTTTAAATCTAAATAATTAGTGCTATTTATATAAGGCTCAAAATGGGATACAAAAATATACTTTCTCTGATGATTGCACAATTTTTATCAGGAGAATGATCGGAGATTTAGTTCTTTAATCAAGATCAGATTAAGACGTGATGACTATTTATGAGCGTTGTTTTGTAATGACTGTTCTTACTACACATATATTTTTAATCCTTATTAAAAGAAGTAAAAAACGTGTACATAGTTAGGGAACCAAATTTAATTTTAAAATATGGACTATGTTTGGTTAAGTGTATTTGACACTGAAACGGACGTTATTCAGTTCTAAAGCTTTAAAAGACAATTAAGATATATAAATTCGTTTTGTCCCCTTCTATATGTACAGAAGCTTACAAATTATATTTATTTTTATAATTGAAATTTGAAACTTCAAATTTGTATGAATGCATAACAGATTATATTAAAAAATTATAAAAAAAAATTAAATTTCAAACCCCATTTTAAAATTTTTTGAAATTTTGACTATTAGTTTATTATTTTTTTTATGTTCATTAAATGATTCCAAGAGGAAGGTAAAGTATAAAAGCACAAATATTTTTAATTCTTAAAACACTTTCTCTTTTTAAAATTTTCTACATTTTTAAAAAAAAGTTTAAAAAGAAAATTAAAAGTGTAAAAAAAAATATTGGCAAATTAAAAACTTTACTACTCAGCATACAAGAGAACTATACACTATGAAATGTAATTAATTTTTAAGGCAATTTACTATTTGCTAAAAATGTTTGAAGGCAAAGCAAGCAAAAAGTGATTCTTAATCGGCTAAATTAATAAAATGTTTTGTCTAGTGGTAATACTACTACTAATACTACTACTAATTACTAATGATTGAGTGTATTAATTATAAGTGTTGCTAATTTTATTTGGTAGTTATTAACATGATAAAAACTTATAATGTTTTCTCTTACAATTATAATTAATTTAGTGAATTTTACTTATTAAACTTGAGAATAAATAAGAAATTTTTTTTTTATGTCAAAGAGTATTTACATAAATAATAACAAGAAGCTACGGTAAGATATTACTTAATTAAAAGCTTCATTCGCTTCAAAAATACTCAAATTGGAAGTAACACTCGGCAAGTTTCAAATGCTCAAGTATAGACACCCATTTTCAAGACTTGACAGACGTGAATTAAAGGAAACAAAAATGATTTGAAATAAACGAGAGCTTAAATAGTATTTGAAACTTAAGGAAACTATTATTTATTTTGATCTAGATATCGATTGAGTTTTAGTTCTTGTAATTAACATGGTTTCTGTTCAAAACATACCTGATTTTCTTAATAGTTGTAGCACTTCGATATGCACAATTTGATATATGTAAAAAAATCAAAATGTTTTATTGGGTGGATGCAATCTTTGCATTTTTGCAGTGTACAAAAAACGAATAATCAAAACAAATTGAATGCTGCTAACATACTTTATTACAACAAGAAAACATAACTTCTATTTACAAAATATCAAAAATACGTCATTTTCGATTTGTTATAACCATATCGCTCGTCCTGTTAGAGATTACAATCCATATCCATATCCTCCGTAGTATCCTCCATTGTATGGAGCACCGTATCCAGCACCATACCCGTATCCAGCACCATATCCATATCCAGCGGCATATGGTTCAGCATAACCAGCATAACCCAAACCATAACCTTCATGTTTTTTAACAGCGGGGGCGGCAAAGTATCCTCCCAATCCATAGCCAGCGATACCACCGTACAGATGTCCGAATGCTGGGGCATCAGAGATCATGTGGACAGCGGCTGGGTTCTGGTTGGCTGTTCCTGGTTCGTTGGTCTTGACCTCAGCTCTGAAGCCACCGTGGTCAGCGACGTAGTTGACTTGTCGTTTGATACCTCGGGCATCAGTGAAACCGTAACTGCCTACAACATGGTTGCCACCAGTTCCAGATTCTTCTCTGTGTTGTTCACCGTGATGGTCTTTGATGCTGTATCCGAATTTGTAAGGTTTAGGTGCGTGATGATAAAATCCTTCATGGTGGACCTATAAAATTACCAAAATAGGTTGCATTTTAAAATTAAAAAGATTACACATAATTTTCGAATTAGCTTCAGTCTAAAAAATTCGACAAAAAATTTCTGCCTAAAAGAATCTACAGTTACTATTACCAATCTAAATTTTTATTTAACTTAATGAAAAATAATTCTTCACAATTTGTTTGGTTAAAAAAAGGCAAGCGAATTTCATTCCTGATTTTTTTTCTCATTACTAAAGACCATGGTTTATAACTCAGATTTTAATTTAGTTTCGTAGTTTTGTGACAGTTAAATTTATATTTTAAAAAAAATATGTATTTAAAATTACATACTTCGTATTTAAAAGATATTGCCTAAAATTTTAGTTCAATTGCTAAAAATTACTTGAGAAGACTGAATGCTTGTGTAAGACTCAATTATTTTTAGGAGAGGAAGGGGGTGGCAGTAAATTTTTTTTTGGTATCAGTAATCACATTTCAGGCCCATAAGTCTTTAATTATTCATTCAGCACTTAGTGTTTTTTTTCTACTAATTAATAAAAAACGACACAAATAAAATGAAAAAAAACGAAAATTTAAAAATAAATAAATAAAGCAAAATTGAATCAATAAAATGAAATAAAATGAAACAAAGAAAATAAATTAAAATCTGTGCTGCTCAAAAATATACAATTTATCAGGCTTGATATACTGAAATTAATATTTAGAAAGTTTTCGTAATGAACATTTTGATAAAATATGTTATAAAGAAAACTAATGTTAAAGTTTTTACCGACAGTAAACATTCATAAAATTTTTTAGGTGAGGATAATCATATTTTGCATATGAAGTCTTTAATTGTTTCTTTAGAACTTATAGTAATTTTTTTTCCATTTAATAAAAAAACGACAGTATAAAAAAATGATGACAAAACTACCTAAATTTAAAAACAAATAAATAATGTAAAATTCAATCAATAAAATAAATATAAAAAAAAGTTTCTGATTGCTTAAAAATATGCTTTTGATCAGGCTTGAAACTGAAATGATATTTAGGAAGCTTTTCTTGTGAATATTTTAGTTCAATTCAATGCAAATTTGCATTAAAGTTTTTACCGAGAGCTAAACATTCATACACAATTCTAATAGCTATCAAGCTTATTCCCGTTGTATAAACCATCTTTCGAGATAAATACGTTAAATTTTTTTGAATCTTTATTATGTAAGCATTTTGCTTTAATAGAATATGACCTGCAATTATATCTTTTGTACTAATTTTATTAGAATATTTACTAATTTTAAGATAAAATTTAATGTTATTTTCCTAAAAATAATAAAGTTTTTTTTTGTTGCCATAGCGTTTTTTTATCAGTATTTTAAATAGGTTTATAACAATTATTTATTAATTATTGATTAATTATTTAACTTTAGCTATTGTTTAATTTGATTAGTTAATATTTATTTAAACTGAGTTTTATTTTTCGAGACAAATTTTTAATTTAATTTTATTTTTAGTTATGATAATTTCAATGTTTCTTTAACTTAAAATTTACGTTACAGTTTTAATGAATTTTGCATATCCCAATACAAATATGTAATTAATTTTTATAAATTAAAAAAAATATAGTCAACGACTAAGGGCTAATAAAATTTTGTGATTTACAAAATTTATGGAAATGTCAAAAGTTAAGCTTATTTTGTTTAGTAAAATACATTGTATGCATACATTAAATAAAAAAAAACATAAATTTCTCTGAAATTAATTATATTTTTTATATGGCAATAATGAAAAATAAACTTACCAAAGGTACTGGTGGGTTGGCGAGAACCGCCCCGATAGCTGCAGCAACAACAATTAACTGCAGAAACAAAAGAGAAGCCAGAAATTAATAATCTTTTGATAGTTTTTAAAACTTGTTAAAATGTTAAACATATTGATTTATAAATTTAAAACATTAAGATTTTGCGATTACTCATACACTTTTCAATGAAAATTTAATCTTTAGATTATTGAAAAGACTAAAAGTATAGAATATTTCTTTTTCTTACTGTTGTAGTCACTCTTTAGGTTTTACGTGTGCATTATTATGTGCTATTTTAGATGAATGCTCTTATGCGCTGTTTTGCGTGTATATTATTATGTGTGCTATATTACGAGTGTGTTTATTATGAATAGTACCTTAGGTTTCATGAATAATTTCTAGACATGGTGCTTGTTCAGCGAATATGTTTCCTCACAAGATGTAAGGATTCTTATTATGATTTATTACCAACTTTCAGTTTCGTAACAGTTCGTTAAAGACGTAACGCTTCTTTACTGACAATGTTTCCTCCAATGAAAATGTTTCGGTTCAAGACATATTTTTTTAATAAAACTTATGAACGTTTTGCTTGTAGACGTATTACTACGACGTAATGTTTCTTTAATGAACAAAGTTATTTGAATGAAAGGTTTTACTTCAATGAAAATGCTTTGTTTAAAAACATTTCGTAATAATAAAAATTATGAATTTTTCGAATGTTAATGTTCTATTACGGCGTAATGTTTTTTAAATGAACATGATTTATTACCAACTTTCAGTTTCGTAAGAGTTCGTTAAAGACGTAACGTTTCTTTACTGACAATGTTTCCTTCAATGAAAATGTTTCGGTTCAAGACATATTTTATTAATAAAACATATGAACACTTTGTTTGCAAACGTTCTATTACGGAGTAATGCTTCTTCAATGATCAAAGTTGTTTTAATTAAAACGTTTCCTTCTGTAAAAATATTTCATTTCCAGACGTTTGCAATTAATAAATCTTATGCACTTTTCTCTTGTTAATGTTCTATTACAACGTAATGTTTTCTGAATGAACATAAACATCTTTTGATTAGAATGCTAAAGAATAGATGCAGAATTGATTAAAAAAATAGGTTATAAACCGAATTCTCAAAAGAAATGGAAAAATGATATTTCCTAGCAGGGAGAGAGGTAATGTTATAATAATCGAGTTGCATACATTATTAATTAAATAAATTTTTCATATTCAAAACACATTTACAAAGTTGAAACATTTGTAAAGTTTAACTCATGCATCTTTTCACAAATATGCTCATAGTTTTTGAACTTTCAAATTGATTTTTTAGGTTAACACATTATGACCCAAAAGACCACGTCATCACACAAAAATGTGGCTATGATAAAAAGTCATATGCATTTAAATTAAGTAATACGGTTAATTAAACAGTGTTTTTTCTCAAAATTTTGAAAATAATGTGCAGCTAGAAAATAAATAAATAAATAGATAGATAAATAAAGCTGAAGTGAAAAAAAATAGAAACTACTAAATAAACATCTCATGAAATTCTTTCAAATATTTTTTTGAATTATTTTGAAGTAAAACCGAAAGTGTAATAGTTGTTCCAAGCAATATTTAAATCAGTTTTCTATTTAAATTTCAGAAAATGATCCATTCCTTTAACTTCACAAAGAGAAAGTTTAGTTATTTCTTTGAAAAAGAAAAAATAGTAAATACAAAGAACTTACCAAAGTAAACATGATTGATTATTTGTTTGACTTCCTTTCCTAAGTGACCACAATAAAAGAGCGACCATATTTATACCAAGTTTCTATCGATGAACATTTGTAAATGTTAGGGATTAGCTTGTTATGGCCGACCGATTCTGAGAGTCGTGCTAATTCTTCCGTATCAATTTTTTTTACGAAACAAGATTAGTTCTATATACTTTGTTCGTTAAGTTCTTTGTCGTCTGCACGAAGTCAAGGTTAATCAATAAAGAATTCAGTGTCGCAAAAAATTATTAATTCCTATAAACATGTCAATGAGTTGAAAAATAACGATTGGTTTTGAAAAAAGCAGACATATTGTCCTTAATAGAATTGATCTAAAGTGATGTAATGAAGTCAAGGGCTTATCGAGTTATGAGAAGAATTCTGGTGGTTTTTAAATAACTTAATTTGTATTATTTTGAGTCGCGTTTTTTAAAGATTCTTCTTTTCAATTTAAAGTATTTCTATTTCTATTGAAAAGTTCTCATTTTTTACATAATTATTTTTTTAAAATTGGAGCTTAAATAAAAACTATAATTAAAAAAGAATTTAGAAACATACACGGAGAAAAAAAATTCTCATATAGTTAACGTACTGTATAGTGATGAAATTTCTGATTAAAAAATTATAATTCTTGTAAGTAAAATCAAAATATACGATATGATACGAAAATAATTTAAGCAATTCATTTGTTAATTTTTCTATTTATATGGTAACGGATTATCAAAAATTCTGGTTTTAAAAATTATAGTTCTTACTACCAAACATTTAAGAAAAAATTTAAAACTGAAAAGTAAATTTAAATAGTTTTTATGCCCTACTTTAATGTATCATGATAGAATTACCAAATTTTACCACAGTTGCCGAGTTTTATCACATAGCGTAAAATCATATTTTATTGTTAATTTTACCAAAATCATTTACCATATCGACGAATTTACCATATTCTGGTAGTTTTGATCATACTTTTTTTTCTTAATGCAGGTTTGAATGTTTTACGACTGATTTGAATAAACCATTAAATAAATATAAAAAGTATTTTCAATAAATAAATAAATACTTCTAAATTAAACTATTTATTATTTGCTGGCTAAAAAAAATTATCATGTACTTGGAAAATACCCAAAATGTCACTTCCCAATCATGCGAAACATTTCTGGCACTTAGTTTTTTTAAATATCGAAAATAAAATTGCTTATATCGAAGTAGTTATTAAATGTATTATTACTAAGCATTATTACTGAAAATTTTTCAATTTTTTTTAAATGATATCTTTAAATATTGCGTATGACATCTTTTGACATCTTTTAATAAGTGTAGCAGCACCATAGATGGCGCCACTACAGGAAAATGATAACTATCACACCTCCTCCACTTTAATGGTCGACGACAACAACAACAATATACGTCCAGTAATTGAACAAAAATGAAGTTAAAAAGAATGCGATTTAAAACTAATCCTCATTTTACAAAATTTCACAAAAACGGTGAGAATAATTTTCGAATAAGTAAAATATGATTGATGAATATATTGAACCTTTTGAAAAGAAATTTTGGAAGGTTATACTGGAAATTCCAGTTTCTAAATGACTTCAAATACACTTCCATTTCTCAAAAATGGTAAGTAATCCATAATTCACATTTCTTTTGATTATCGGTTACGCCCAGTACCTCCTAGTTTTTAATAAGTGGTACTGTCACTCTTTCTTCATTAATAGAAAATTTTAGAAGATTTATAAAAATTGAGCTCGTACAATCAAAAGCAAAAGTGGCTAGATTATTTTTTCCACTATTTTGTTAACTATTCATTCGTTGTCCATGGAAAAAAGTCAGTTTTGAAAGTTCAAAAATATCTTACACCTTTTTTTGGAGTGATTTTCAGNCATATACTAGGAAAATACGCAAAATGTCACTTTCGTGCTGGCAATTAGATTGCTAATCACTTTAAGGGGTCATAGTATCTTTGGAACAATTTTTTTAAATAAAGGTATAATCATTCACTTTGTGAATGCATTACATGCTCATTTAACTTATAATCAATAATTTATCTTCAAAAAATAAATAAACTGTTTAATTTTTTGAAATTTAAAAAATAATTTATAAAAAATTCTAAATTTTTAAGTCCATAAGGATTTTTTATTTTAACATATTTTCAAATTTTTTTTTCTTCGTGCTTATACAATATTCATTTTAACAATTTTGCGCATTCATTTGTTGATATATCAATTAGAATATTTTTCATAGATTATTTTGGAAAAAAGTAAAAAAAAGGCCTGTTAGGTATATATAACATGCTGTGAAAATTTTAATATCTCATAAAATGCTTATTCCATGCACAGTTTAAATGAGTGTAATATACTTAAGATAAAAAAATTTACTTCAAAGCCTTATCTTAAATAGAAAAAATTCTTTAGGGATTTAATTAAGATTGAAACACAAAATTTTCATCTATGAGAAAAAGAACTTCAAAGTCTGTCTGATGAGCAAGTTTCTGTATTAGTACAATTATTATTAGTACAATTACAATTATAATTATTATTCTGTATTAGTACATTCATAACTTTTTTAGAAATGTAGATAGTGAGACGATTTTTTCTCAGTGCATTTGAAATAGTTTGAAGTTTTATTATGAACAATAAATTTTTTTTCGAAATTTTAGTCATTTTTTGGATACCGTGACCCCATTCACTTTAAGTGGCCCGGGAAAAAAGACTGCGTCAAAATTTCTCAGAATATCACAAATTCGAAACTGTCTCCTCCTTACCCAATATCTTCCAGGCATTTTGCTTCTTCTGAAAGCGTCAAGACTAATCAAATTTTGCAATTTTTTTGTTTTCTCTGTTTTAACTGCTTCTTTGCAAATTAAAGTGCAGTAAAATTCAAAACTTTCTCATTGTGTGTGTTACTCTCTCACTTTCATTACACTTAATTGATTTGTTTAAATTGTTCACAATAATTATTTTTGGAACTTATTTGCATAAAAAGTTAAAATTAACTTCTCAATTTTATCTTTTTTGAGTTTATTAAGTTGAGTTACTTACTACTAGCTTAAAACGACTGTTTTCTTAACTTCTAAGCTAATATGTAGTTTTCCTGGCCTTTTCGTGATTTTTCTGGCATTCAAAATTTGGTGAATTTCTATTTTATTTTTTTTCTTGAGCAAATGTCAATAAACTGCTGTCTGTAAAATATTAATAAATGCAACTAAATAAATACACAAAAAAAATTTAGATTACTTTGAAGACTTTAAATTTGAAGAAATTTTACACTGACACTTTGATATTTCTCAAAAAATACTAGAGAATCAGTTTATAAATTTACCGTGTGATTTCTCATACATATCAATGAAGTTTAAAGCTCTTCCGACAATAATATAGGAACCGAAATTTTTTTTAAAAAACTCTATGCCAAAAAAGGTAGTAATAAATTTGCAACTTATAACAGTTATTTTGGTAATTATATTCAATAATTGTACAAAATTTTGTTAACCAAGCCTAAATATTATTTGAAATATAGACATTTTCCTAAAAAAACAATTTTTTTTTCGTCCTACGTTTTTTTGCTATAACTTTGTAAATATTCACCGAAATAAACAAAACTTTTGGTCAATTTGAAATTAATTACAAAATTATTGCTTTGAGACTTGAAATAAAAATCAGTTAAAAACTGTACAAGATATGAATATTCAAAGTAGTTTTTTTATATTGGGCATGCACAGAAAAAGTTAAAAACTTTCTTCCTTTTTAGTTTTATATCCGAAAACTAATAAAAAAAAGCCCGATTTGAGTATCTTCAAAATTTAAAAAGTTTCAAGCAATTTTCGAAACAGTTTTCTCTTTTAAAAGAAAATTCAAAATAAGGGATTTTTCTTCAATTTCATTTTGTACTATTAAACAAGTTTTATTAAAAATGACACTGGCGTTGTAGGGGATCATCCCCCAAGAAAGCATCTTTGTCTTTGGCACGCTTTATTTCCTAATACTATCACATTTCGCTGTCCGGACTATCATTAGAAGGGTACTATCATTTGTTAATAAACCTTGCTTAGTAATACAAAATGAAATAGGAGGAAAACCCCTTATAATTTTGAGCTTTCTTCTAAAATGCAAGAACAAAAATTACTGGAAACTGTTAAAATTTTTATGATAATCTAATCGGACTTTTTTTATTACCTTTATTATTAGTTTCACTACAAAATTACGAAATTAAAAAAAAAAAAAATATTTGTTGCGCAAGTGCAGTTAATAACAAATTATTCTCAAATTGTAAAGCAATAATTTTGAAATTAATTTAAAATTGATCTATAATTTTTGCTTTATTTTATTACATATTTTTAAAGTTATAGCTAAAAAAACACAAAAAAGTTTTTTTATTTTTTATAAAAATGTCTAAATTTCCAAAATATTTCAGCAAGGTTTGCGAAAGTTGGTGCAATTATTGAATATAATAATCAAAATAAGAGTTATAAGTTGCAAATGCATTGCTGCGTTTTTTGGTATAAGGTGTTTAAAATTTTTTTCCGTCTATAGTTTATTGTCGGTTCCTCGAACCTCAAAAAGCTTAAAACCTCTTTGGCATGTATGAAAAATCGCTCAGTCTAAACTCTTCTAAATTTATAAACTTATTCTTTAAGTATTTTTTGAGAAATATTAAAAGCTGTGTTAGCATCGAAGACTGTCGAAGACGAAAATTGTCGGACAAGGAGACAAGAAAGAATTAAAGAAAAGAGAGATTTTCCAAAAAACATCAAAGAAAGAATATAATGAGTAAGATCGATTTCCTAATTTATTCTTAGTTGTAGAACTTTTTCTTAAAAATTCATTTATGTCTTTTGCGATAGTTTTGTACGACATGGCAGTTCTTAAACATAGGTGAAACACCCACACTCACAGCCTTAACGAAACACGAGACTTAGACAGTTTTCCCGAATAAAATAATGTTTTTGTACTTATTGCAGCCATCAAACCATCAAACACACTGTCGTTGTTCATTTTTGACATAGTTCTTAATGTGTTTTTAATAAATACGTAAAATATTACCACAAAATGCAGAGAATATTTCATAATCTTTCAAAAGAATATGTAAAGTTTTAAGTGTGCATAAAAACGAATATAGCTCAGTAGGCATGTTGAATAAAATGAACATAGCATGATATGCGCGTTTGAAAAAATAGGAATAGCTTGATAGGCGTATTTTAAAAAAAATCGACAAAGCTCAAACAGATTATTTACTAAGTAAAGAGTGTGAGTTAAAAATATAGAAATAGCTCGTAATGATTATTTATAAAAATTGAAATGCCGAATAAATTTGTGGAGAGCTGTGTAGAAATTTGGACAAAATAATATCTGTAGTAAGTTTATCTAAAAGCAGCAGTATAAAAAATTCGCTTAGTATTTTTAAACACTACAAATTTCTCTTAAAATATAATCTTAGCAGATATTTACTAAAAAACTCAAATGCTATGACTACTCTTTTAAATAACTTCGTCCATTTTTTTTAATATCACATTATTTAGAGACCTCAATTTCTTTTTTGAAACGTTATGGCATTTCAAGCTATGTCTATTATTTATGTTCATGTACAGAATTAAAAACTGAATTCTCTGAATAACTATCATCGGATTTTTACGCACTAGGACTTAAATAATAAACAGTTTCTGAGTTATCAAATTTGGAGAAAGTCGTACATTTAAAGCTTAGTTCCTCATGACCAATCCAATCGATTTTGTGCAAATTTTGCTAGAAGGCTTCTGTAGCGCATATTGCATGAAAAATTTTTTGTGTAGCACATTCTATAAAGATTGCACATTTTATTTATGATCAACATGCTTGAAAACATATTATGCAAAAAATTTCTCTTTATTGAAAATAAAAGTGAAGATGTATGATTTCTTTTCATTTTTCCAACTTAAAAAATTGCATAAACTGAATGACATTTAAAGTTTTAAAAACACAATGTAAATATAAGAACAACAGCATGAATATTAAAAATAGAATAAAAGCAATATAAAGAAATACATCAAAATGTTATTTTTTTAAAAATTGAAATAAATTTAATTTATAAAACTAAATATTTTTATGTATGAATGTATAGTTAAATTTAGTTTTAACTATACATTCACATTCTCGATAACATATTCTCGTTAAAACGATATTGAATTTCCTCTTTTGAAAAAAATTCACTCTTAATAAATTAGATTATGACATATTTTATCACGTTAAAAAAATTCATATTTTTGTCCAAAAAATTCGAAATGGAAATTCCGCAGTCGCAATTGATGTGTTCGATTATTAACTTGAATTTTTTCTCTATTACAAGTTTATTAACTACATAATTTATTTAAAGATATAAAAATATTATATTGATTGAAATATTAAATCATATGTGTATTGATTCAATTAAGGGTAAAATTTATTTTACAATAGAGAGCTCCTATCACTTTGTAAATTTTTTATTTTCTTTCAGAAAATAGGAAAAAGGATTTAGAAATGAAATTTTCTAATAATAGAAATAAAAATAAGAAAAATCGAGGATTTCATATACATTAAAAGCTCCATGTTACAGGATGCAATGCAAAGAAGCATCCTATTCTACACTCTAATCCAACGAAGATGTTTCATTTAACGTTGATAGAATCGTATGAAAGGTGAAATTTAAAATTCAAACAGTATATTCAAAATATCTTATTAAAGGAGTTGTATTTATTTTGTTTTAACAACAACAATAAATGGAAGAAAAACAATTTTAATTATCTAATCATTAATATCCGTATCTTGCGTATCCTAAACCTCCTAAGCCGAGTCCTCCATATCCGACATAAGGGCCTCCATATCCGTTATAAGCTCCGCCATATCCACCATAAGCTCCACCATATGCAAGATCTCCTGCACCAACGCCACCATATCCGTATCCAAGACCGTATCCTGCAGTTGCTGCTGGTACGCCCAGGTATCCTTCACCACCAACATATGGAGCATCGGAGGCGATGAGTACTGCGGCTGGGTTCTGGTTGGCGGTGCCTGGTTCGTTGGTCTGGACCTTGGCTCTGAATCCGGCTTTGTCAGCGACGTAGTTCACTTGTCTTTTGATTCCTCGGGCATCGGTGAATCCGTAGCTACCGACAACGTGTTGTCCTCCAGTACCGGATTCTTCTCTGTGTTGTTCTCCGTGTTTGTCTTTGATGCTGTATCCGAATTTGTAGGGTTTTGGGGCATAGTGCTCATAGACTGGATATTTGTCCTCGACCATCTGGAAATGGAATAAAAAAGAACTTTTTAGAAATTGTAGTTCACACTTATTTAATTTCAATGAATATTTAGATTGCTAAACCACATTGAAGATTAATATTCCAATAGATGAAATTTTTATTGAGCAATTATTATTTACTGGAGTTTTAAGTTAAGACAATTTTCAAATTTAATCGATTATCACCAAAATGTTGGGCTAGTGTCAATGAAATTTGGTATAAACGAAAGTTATTAGATATTTTTTTCCGCCAATGCCCACCTGTGTTAACATTTTTCGTCAATTCAGGCAATAACAGGACAGATTTGTTGGCCTCTCTTTCAGGGGCACTATTTTAGGTGGGAAAAAGTTAGAATTAGGTGGGCATATTAGGTAAGGACAGATATTAGAGTAAAGGAAAGACCATCCATGCCTTGCCCGGAATTCAAACCCAGAACCTTTCTGATGCAAGAGCAGTTCCCTAACCCCTACACAGGCCGGCCAACAAGTTATTAGATATAAAATAAATGTATTCTTACTCATATCTTATTTTGCTCAGATCAAATTTTGTTCATGTCAAATCTTGTTCATATCAAATTTCGTTAAAATTTGCTCTCTAGTTCTCGAGATAATTGACCGTATTTGAAACTTCTCATAACTTTTAACACTAGTGCAGGGCATGGAAGCTCTACTCACCAGCTCGCCATTGGCAACCGAATATATAGAGCTTGTGAGTAAGCAGCAGAGTTTGACTCTAATGTAATAGTTTGATTCAAGAATAACGGAGTCTGAGAATTACAACGATGGGCTCTAGAGATGAAAATGACAGAAGGTAATTCTGATGTTTTCCCTACTTAAATGTCTTTTAATAATACATGGATGATGTTGAAACCGTTAAGTCCTTACTGGAACTTTATTTTAAGTAAATATTTTTATTACTTTTCAATAAATGCGATTTTTCTTTTTAAGTAAAAGTTATAGTTTTTAACACTAATAAGTTTTTATTTATTCTACGCCACTTACGATTTTAAAAATTGTTCATATTTTTCTCTAAAATAGTGATGGGCAAAAATTTTAGTCTGGCTATTACCTTTAGAACTAAAATGTCATGCCCTGTATAAGTACATATGACATCAATCAACTGTTCGTAATAAAATTGTTAGGAATCTATCTTATTTTCAAAGAATATTTAGTTTACGCTGAACAGCAATCCAGCTTATAAAACATTTAAACTTTTGTCCTGATAAATCTTTCGATGTGTCATGCTTCGATGCTAGAATTATTATTTTTAAAGAACACAACTGTGTGATGTCAAAATTAACATCTTTAATTGCACTGTCAGAAATTTCTCGGAAAAAATAGTTAAATAACTATTTATTTAAATATTATTTTACCATATTCAAACAGAACAGTCAAGTACTCATAAATAAGATGGTAATCAAACTGTTAACTGTGAGAATAACCGTTTAATAATAGCATTCACCTAATACGGTTAAATAACCAGAATTTTATCTCACTAAATAAGCCCACTAATGAAGTCACTTAGTTCTTTGCAACTGCGTACATATTATAAATCTGTAATTAAATAAAATAAAATGTTTGCTGAGAGCTAAGATTATTATATGTCATAAGAATTTAAGACTCAAACATAATTCAATTCGAATTACAAATTAGTTATAAATTGAATTGGAAATTAAGTAAAGTTCAAAGTAATTGAGAAAGTTTGCAATGTATTTTAACAATCGTCTCTAAAATTTATGCTGATATCAACTGCGTCATGGTCGCTTTTTTTTGTCGTATGCCTGTTTAGGCAGTGGTGGTGCGATTGTTCCTGTTTTTCAGTGGCGCCATCTATGGCCAGGAATTCGACTTCTGTCACGTCATTCACACAACTGCAAACCGTTTATAGGGTGGGCCACATTCACACACAAAGGTGAAAGGAACGTAGAACACACACAGAGAGAAAGAAACATCCATACCTTGTCCGGGATTCGAACCCAGGACCTTTCTGATGCAAGGACAGTTTCCTGCCCCCTACACAGGCCGGTCGGCGTGGCTTTTGTTAATTAATATGAATAACAGTGATAATTTTATGAATGAAGTCTTATAATTACTTACATATCCAAGATGGGCAAGTGATACGCCACAGAGAGCAAGAAACAGGAAGCACTGTAAAATGATAACAGTCAGAAGTTAGTTTAATCTGTACAGCATTTTTGCCATGAAACTCCGATGTATGGGAGTTTAAATACAGTTAAAATATATCCACATTATAAATTTAAAAGATTATATATTCTAACTACAGAACTTTGAGTTTTAGTTTAAATAGTTTATATTGATTTGTTTTCTTTTAAAAATTGAGATAATTATTTTTACTCTCACAAATATTTTTTCAAAATATTTGTTAAAACATTTGTCTTTAAAAAAATCATTCATACAACCGAGTATAATTTAGATAACTTTTATTTACATGTTTTCTACTATAATAAAATGTTGTAAGAAATGGAATTTTAAATATAGAACTTTTTTAAAATTCAATTTCTCAGGAACTATTCAACTGGTTTTATTTCTCATGTGAATTTTTATTATGGAAGTTGGTTTAATGCTATTTTGTTTATCTGTTGAACCGTGTGAAGGCGACTGCAGTTAATGACATAATGAGATGTCATATGATCATCATCATATGTCATAAGATGTCATATAATAGCATCATATGTTTTTCTTAAGAGTTCATTAGAATTTCAAGTTCGAAATTAAAAATAAATAACTAAATGAATTATAAAAGAAATTATTCCAAATCATAATGAAATCAGTTTAAACCAAATCATCATCGTGATCCAAATCACCCATTAATCACAATAAAAATAAAAATGAGAAAAAAATCGAAGTTTTCCCGAACAAATTTATAAATGTAAGGCTATCTTTATTAAAGTGAAAGTAAAAAGGTATATATAAACATTAGGGCTCGCAAACTTAGATTTCATGAAAAAATAACAGGTGCGTTATGGAAATCTGTGGGTATGAAAATGACTGCTGATGAAGGTGAGAAGAAACATCAAAACCTGCTTGATTGTCTGAGGGAACTCAGAGGAGTTAAAAGACGGTTATTAGAAATGCTTCCAAATTTAATCAGACAGTCAAGCTGGTTTACAAATTTTTATACCAACTCCCTCATTAGTGATTTTACAGACTCCGATCACGCCTTTTCTTCTTCATCTCGCTTAAATATTATTTTACGACCTTTTATAAGCACATTTTGGAATTCAAATTTAACAATATATATTAAGGGAGGTTACTATATTTTTAGATTATTAAAGGGAGAAAAATAGTTTAGTGAAATACTCGAAGAAAATAGATAAGAAAGTTTCATTAAAATATACATAACATTGAATGATGGTATAAAGATTAAATTAAAAAAAGCAATGTTTTTCTTACCTGAGATATCATGGTTGATTTAATTTTTTAGCTCCAGTTGTATTACTCGTATAAAAACATCCGCTTTTTATATTGACTTTATCTAAACATTTAAATTAGCATTCATGGATGATTAATCAAACATTTGAATAATTGAATTTTATTTTTCTAAAACGCCTCAAGCTACACAATTATTCCAAAATCAAGGTTAAAAAAAGAGAAATGATTTCGCTATCGAATACTGATAATTCCAAGTAAGAGAATTTCAAAACAATAAAAGAAGTATGTAAGGAATATTTTTAATTTTTCTAGTTACTGAAATTTCACTGCTTAGGTTAGAGATGAAGTTTAATTGGAAGCCTTTTTATTATTAAGTTAAAAACTAATTTCTGATTTACTTAATATTTCTCGTAATCTTTTGAAAAGAAATCATATTTACTTTTGCCATAGTTATTACGTTAAAACAAAAAAAATTTAATAAGTTTAATTAAAAAATTAATTAAACTCATCTTTAACACCCGCATTTATAACATGAGTTTATTAGCATAATACTATAACATAGGCTTATACTACACATGTTAAACAATAGCATGTATACAACGAGTAATGCTCTAAAATATATTTATAACATACATAGTACAATAGCATATACATAACATATGTAGTACAATGACATATTTGTAGTAACCTATTTTTAATTATCTATGACTTGGACATGTTTATTGGCTTATAATACAGTTTGAAATAAGTAGTTTCAGGTATTTTTTCTCTCTATTTATGAAATATTGAACGGTAAGTTCGCAAAACGTTGTCATTGTTATACTTTGTAAGGATTTTTATTTTTAATATTTTTTGTACATGACGAAATGAAATGATCGTCTTGATAGACTAATGTGAGGGGAAAAAATATAAATTCACGTCAACTTTTATTCTGGCATAATCTCAGAAATAAAACTCGCCCTTTTGACGGTTCTGCAAACCGTGAGCTGCATTTTGTCAATTAGAGAATCATTTTGACACGAAATCACAGGATTTGTGATGGAACGTGAACTCTCAAATATGTGACGAAAATGTTTCCTTAAGTTGCAACCTCATCGCAAAGTATTGTGTGAGATATATTAGAATGACGCAACTAGAATTTTGACATTAGCTGACCGAAGCGAATGGTAATCTAGGAGTTAGCCTCATACGAGGAAAATCCGTGGCTCGAATCCCGCTTCAGGTTTCGATTTAATTTACCTCTCTGTTATATTTGTTCATGTTGGGGTGACATCGATGCACCTAAATAGTATCTAGAAAGAAAAAAAATTACACCCGTTTTTTTTTTCTTTTTTGAAAAATAAAATAAAGGGAAGAACAATTTCTTTACTTCTGACGAAATCCTTTTCCTCGAAGAAGTGGCGATGGTAATTTCATCACTCTGACAAAACGTTCGCTAAGAGCATATCCTAAGAAATGGTTTCGTCAAAAACGAAGAAAGTTTCGTGAGATTTAAGTTTCCATTTTTTACAGTACATAACTTTTTTTTCCAATGTCCATCTGGGTAATGGCATTTCGTCAATAAAATAACAGGCTTCTGAAGGGCAGATTTGTTAGCCACTCTTTCAGGGGCGCCATTCAGGTGGGCCAACTTTGCTCCCGCAGTAAGGACAGATAGTACAGAGAATGAAAGAACTTCCATGCCTTGTCCGGGATTTGAACCCAGAACCTTTCCGATGCAAGGCCAGTTCCGTGATCACTACACAGTCCAGTCAGCACAGTACATAACTTAGATAATAAACAATTTATTTCACAAAATTTATAAATTTACATAAATAAATAAAATTTATTCAAATAAATTAAATAAAATGAAAATCAAACCGTTAAATACATAGATTTATAAATCAAGGGTTTCATAGATTGTACATTTTGTATATTTTAGAACCTCATTTAAAAAAGAGTATAATCACAAATACAAAGCTAAGTTAATATAAATTAATATCTAATGAGTGAATGAAGCGAGATCAAATAGCAAAAGCAAGCCAAAACCGAATTTTTTAATGATAGAAAAGCTTTTGAATTTTAAGGTACAAATACTTTTAAATGATTTTGAACAGTTTAGGTTGAAATGATGAAATTCTCAATTTGAAATAAATTGTACAAATAGTACTTCATAAAGAGATTTTCTATTTAAAGAAAATCGTATTTGAATCGTATCAGTAATGAAAAATTTTCGGAACAATTCCGTTTAACTTCAAATTCTGTCATTTAAAATTGCGTGGAAAATGTGTAAGAATGTATGAGTAAAAATTTTGTCTTAAAGTAAATTTTTTTGACCATTATTAAAATAAGTTGTGAGAACTAATTATTAATCTTAAAAATTTACATACAAATTTACAAATAAATTTTGGAGAAAGGAAGATCATAATTTTGCGAGAAAAGTTTTTGACTCATCGAAATAGTTCCAGCAAAGATACTGCAAAATCCGCTAAAGGTAAAATAAACATTAAGAAAACTAAGTTTTCGAATCCTCTCGCATTAAAATATAGGGTTTATGTTTTCTAGAATGCGTCTACTTCATATTTTTGAGTTTTAATTCTCAGTCGTAAAAAGTAATGTTCTTGAGTCATTCTTAAGTCAGTCGTAAAAAATAATGTTTATTAGGAAAGAGTGTGTTTCTTGTGTCGAATTTGTTATTTAAAATAGAACATACTCAGAGTAAACGCATGTTAAAATAAACTTCTTGAAATATTAAGAAAACATTATAGTACAGTGTGAAAGAAAAAGGATCACCCTGAATAACTTTTGATCTAGTGATCGGATCTTTACGTTCTAAGACTAAATCTTAATGGCTCGAAGAGGTGACCTCAAATATGTTGATAAATTGGTGAAAATACGTTAATTTGTTTTAAAATACGAAAACAGACGCAGAAGAGTTTCAGTTCTCTTAAAAAATTATGGAGATATGACGAAATACGCAAAAAGTGAAATTCACATTAGGAGGTCTAAACTTTGGACCACTCTCCCGGTCAAACTGTTGGGACCATATTTACTTGATTGCGGCGACCCTTTATATTTCGTGGGAGAGAAATCCGAATTCGTCGAATAAAGGTATGTTTACACAGAGAAAATACATTTTTGTTTCTGATTTGCACTAATTAATTAGAATATTTGAGGTCACTCCCAATAAGATTAGTCCTAGAACGTGAAGATTAGATCAAAAGTTATTCATAGTGGTCCGTTTTTTTTGAGCACTGAACGTGAAATTCAGATAAAATTTAAATCGCTGTTCCGTTTCTTAGTTTTGGCTCCGTTTTTTATGTTCCTTCATTTTTACGTCTCAGCCGTTTTTTATTTCTGTATCACTGTTAACATTTAAAGAAATGCGAAGATTTCTATCTTTCATTTGTTTTTCAAAGTCAGAAAATCAAATACTCTTATATGCGCGTGTTTTTTTACTTATTATTTCTGAATCCATTGCAGTTGAAATTGAAAAATCGTTGCAAAAATGTTGTTAGTTTTCATGCTTAATTTCTATTGTTTAGCTAACTTGATTTTCCTTTGTAAATAATACGCAATTTTTTAGATTAATTTTCATTTGTAATTTTGATTTGTAACTGTCACGGGCAATGTAAATAATTGGGCATTGTTTATAATGCCCGGACAATTTATAAAGCGCCCAAAAGGATATGACAAAATGATAAATTATGTTGCAATTATTACATTGCCCAGTCATTATGTATAATGCTAAGAGTCAAGGGGGCAATTTGTGTCACACACAGCCACAGGGTGTCAGGGTGTCATCCACTTTTAGATGCACCTGAATAATTTTTTTTAAAATTTTTCCCGCACATGAGCTGTATAAAGCAACTACTTCAATTACAATTATCTGGCGCAGTTATTATTATTATTTTTTTAATTTTAAAGCAATAATTTCGGTATCAGTTTAAAATTGATTCAAACGCTTTGTTTAATTATTTTTAAATATTTAAGCTATAGCAAAAGTGGCACTAGACCTAGTATATATTTCTTTCCTAGTATACATTTACCAAAGGTCTAGTCATACTAGGTCTGGTTAAGTGCCATTGCCCGGTATGCCCAATTGTTAAAACTGTT